AGGCCTAAATTCAATGTTATTTTTCCATTAAATACCACAGAGCCTACTCAGTTCTACAAGTGATTTTTTCTGAAAATCAGTACTTGTCAGATCTGCTTAAGTACCCTTTAGGAAATACCTGTACCAAGTCAGGAATATGACAGTTGTTTTCCGTTTATTTGATGTGTTTGAGCTTTTGATTTTGTTTATTTGTTGAAGAGCGTCTAAAGTACCTAATCAGAAAAAAAATCTTAAAACATACAAACAGACAAACAAACAAACAAAATACAAAACACTGTTCAAAAGGTGAAACGTTGCCAAATCCTGTCCGATGTATACCGATAAAATGATTTGACACAAGTTTGACGAAACCAGATAAAAAGTTTTCTTATTGCTGTTCTTTGTATCAAAATAGCAATGAGTCAAATGAAGTTTAAACTTATCTGTATGGTTCATTTTTATTAACAATATGGACCTTGCAAAGCTTAATAACAAATAAGGTTTTATACCGTGAAAACTCGTATGATTTTGACTTACTTATAATTGAAATAGAGAGGCAAAGGATAACAAAAGGACATTCAAACTCACAAGTCGAAAATAAACTGACAACGCCATGACCAAAAAAGAAAAAGACAAACAGACAAACAACAGCATACAAAACAACATTAAAATTGTTTTTCATTTAGAGGTGAAAAGCTTATTTAAGATATAGTTCGAAGTTTAAATGAAATGAAGTCTCAAATGAGCGAAATATCGATTTGTTGCAAATTTGTTACCATTAAATTTCAAGTTCATAAAAGATTTGAAAAGAGTATTATAAGGTTTTGGTAATAACCCCTAAATATCATTTGAAATGTAACACCTGTAGTCTAAGTCTTCGCCACTAATCTATGTTTATAACCAATTTTATTTGCTAATTGAAAATTGAGCTGAATAAAATAATTTAAAACAGCAGAGAAGATAATTCTGTTTTAATTGTTTATTACTAAGACTTAAATAAAGAGTGAGCTATTTATACTGTAAATTTATGATGTCTCTAGTCTGGTCAAAGGGTCAGAGTGTCCTACTTAACCAAACGATAAATTGTTGAAATAAGATAATATGTTTTCACGTGCAGAGAAATTTCACTTATGACCAGTGCATGATTGGATTACATCTTTCTTATTGGTCAATGATCTTGCGGGGTCAGCACGAGTTCGCGTGTCAGTGCGTTGTGGTCACTTCCTTTTATCATCAGCATTTGATGTGTTAACTTGTGATTCTTATTAAACAATTTGTTAAAAATTCCCACCCACATACCTCCCCTAATGTTATCTTTTGAAGTAGATATGTATATATGTTTATTTGTGGGGCAGATTTTTCTCCCAACCTTTGCTATTCTTTGTCATTTATTCAATTGATATGATATTAGTTGATGTAATTTCGTATTAATTATGTATTATTATTTCATATTAAATATGAACTTTTATGTCAAATGTTTTATTTGCAAAATGTATTTTTTGCATTTTATGATTTTAAATAAATGACCTTTTTTCGTCAGTTCAGTTTTTATATCATATAGCAAATCAAGCTCAGACTCTGGCCTGTGTATACATAGTATGTTTATGGTATCTAGCTGTCTGTCTTAAATCATAATACCACATGAAAAGTTAAAAACCCGTCTTAAAAAAATAATCCACAATGCTTTAATCCATAACAATGTTACTATACGCTACAAAATTATTGTTTTGGGCTATAAATAGGCATATTTGTGAGTCCAAAAATAAAATATACTACACCGAAGAACAAAGTTATCAGTATGCTGGACTTTCTCAATGAATTTAGAGATAGAATTTTCCAGCATGTTGTCGATATTTCTATTAGAACCAACTGTGCATTTCTCTTGTGTAACCTTTTCTTATTTTCATATGTCGGTGTTCTTTCAGTCACTTGTAAAAAACAAGAAGATCAAAGAAGCTAGGTCATTAAATTCAACTGACAGGTATATTAATGATTTTCTTTTCACTAACAATCCAAACTTTTCTGATTAGGTCCCATTAACATATCCTCCCGAACTGGAGATTAAAGAAACCACTGATACAGCTTCCTCTGATTCATTTCTAGACATTTAACTAGAATTTGACAACAGCGGTCATCACAGTACCAGAATCTATAAAAAACAAGATAATTCAATTTTGAAATTATAAATTTTCCTCACCTGATCAGCAATTTACCAACTTAAACCGCGTACGGAGTATACATTTCTTAACTCATACGATTTTCAAAAGTTTGCAGCTGGTACTCGGACCTTGTAAAACGTCATCGGTGTCTGAGCAAAAAATTAACGAGCCAGAATTTGTCAAAGAAAATCCAATTCTTTGATGTATGTGTATATTATTTTTGGCTGCTGGTCAAATTAACATATCATATAGAAATAAGAAGATGTGGTATGAGTGCCAATGAGACAACTCTCCATCCAAGTCACAATGTGTAAAAAGTAAACAATTATAGGTCAAAGTACGGCCTTCAACACGGAGCCTTGGCTCACACCAAACAGCAAGCTACAAAGGGCCCCAAAATGACAAGTGTAAAACAATTCAATCAGGAATACCAACGGTCTAATCTATATAAAAACGAGAAACGAGAAACACTTATGAAACACATCAACAAACGACAACCACTGAACAACAGGTTCCTGACTTAGGACAGGTGCAAACAAATGCAGCGGTTTTAAACGTTTTAACAGGCGCCAACCTTCACCCTAACCTGGAATAGTAGTGTAACATTACAACATAGAGAGACACACTATAAAATATCAATGGAAATGGCTTAACTCAATCAAAAGACATATTAACAAAAACAAGTAAACATACGCTGAACGAATAAATTTGATCTATGACATAATGTAAATACGATATTAATAAAAAAAAGGGGGAGATGTAAAACAATATCAGAAAGACAACTATAACCTTGGACAAAATGGCGTTAAAAAAAATAACGTACACAGGTAAATATAATAATTTTGTTGTAAGGAGTTCATGGAATATAGAAATAGTTTTTACAAAATAAATAAATATGTCTGTTTTGTTTGCTCACCCAATTTTGTCAATAAAACAACTGTTTTACAAGTGGGAGTTATAGCTAGCTATAAAATCAGTTTTAACCCACTATTTCCTTCGGAAAATGCCTGTACCAAATCAGGAATATGGTTGATAACGTTTGATTTTGTCCGTTTTTTATGGACTTCCCCTTTTTTAATTTACCTTGGAGTGTGGTATTTAATAATTGAGTAATGTCTATTGTCAAAATCCGTTAATTAATAATGGACAATTGACAAATGTTTAAACCAGAGAACATGCAACAAATAATCTCCTAATAATGCCGATCGTTGATGAGAGGCAACCGTAATTTACCGACATTCAAATCTCGTAAAATCAAAAAGGAGCGGGACTGGGTACTTCGATAAAGTACGCGTCTGTTGCTTTGCATGCATCACTCGCAAAGTATATAAAGATTTAAGACAGCGAAAATATTTCACTAGTGAGTTGAGACACATAAGCATCGTATCTGTCAACCAATTATTGATGGTGACTGTAAAAATGATGTAGTTTCGATTTCGGTCGTTTTTCCTCATAACTCTGTTGGAACAGTTTTTGTGTCAGGAGCACGTCCCCTGTTAACAAAGTGTGTATAGTTTGAAGATGCACGAGGTTAGTGTATGCATTGAGATATTTTACAATACTCTAGTATACGATGAGGCAGAAGGTATGTTATTGCTGGGAATTGGAAGTTGACGATTGTAAAGATAAAACCATCACGTTTTTTTTTTTAAAGATTCTAGTTTTAAGTAGACTAAGTGTTGATAGACAATGCCTTACTATATTGCCTTTAAACTAATTTTTATTTTTTTGAAAAAGATGAAAAAGTTGAATCGGAAAAATGCACAAATAAGACGCTATAATCTGCCGCTATTTTGAAAGTAGGCGAAACACATTACAGAGCATTTATATCATAATTTCGATGCGCTTCTTTGCGCATAAACAATAGACTAGTCTTGGTTGATTTGGGGGTTAAAAACGATGGACACAATTGGTAGCAACAGATAATATAAATCTTAGGGTTTAAATATGAAGTCTGATTAATTTGAAAATAACGTTTGTATTATTTCTTTAAAAACTGATCAAAGCTACCAGGCTTACATTTTGATAAATTAGGCATAATTTGTTTTGGAATTTTTGGTTTTCAATACTCGTCAACTTCGTCGGCGAAACGTGTGTTCAATTCTTATTTATGACGTACCAATTTCATAAAGTGTTATTTTCTTAATAAGATTTGTTTAACAAAGGTAAACCTATTTTTCCTTTTCTTATTTATCAGAAGATTCATCCGCTTTTTTTCTTTTGATTGTGCATATGGGGCAGTAACTCCTACTTAACTCATGGCAAACGTTTCTTCTTTCATCCGGGTCTTTGGTAGGATTAATATTGCTCAATTATAAGCTTTCTGTGTAGTTTGATATATTGTTTGATTTTCTATTTTGTTGACTTGCTTTTGATTATGATCCCAAAGGTTGATTAAGGTATAAAGATATAATCAGCTCCCGTTCCAAATAGTAAACTGTGGATCGTCCGTTTGGCTGTTGGGTGCATGTATAAGCACGCATCCATGTCCGGTCGAAATAGAGAGGTTAAATTCGATGCATCTTTTAGAAGAAGCGTTACGCTTTATGTCTTGATGCAATATACCCTAATTTTCAAGTGACAGTCTAAATCTCCCGCACTTCATCCCGGTCGAACCCTATCTTCCAGAACATACCTATTCTATTTATTATTTTTTTGTTCTCGTCATGAACATGCATGAAATATGTGCCACTGTACGTAAAGCAAACAACAATAAATCAATTAATCTATCTTTTGAGTATTGTGTCTTCTTGTTGTTCTTCGATTTACGATGAATGATTTGTTCCTGTAGGTATTTAATTTCAATTTTAACACGGGTTGAAATCTAGCCAACCAATAATAATTTGTCTAATAAGGCAGATATATAGAAATAGTCAAAGTGGTTTATTCAGTTACAAATTGTACAAAATGACCAACATTAAAAGAGCTTTATCTAGACTGATGTATTTACCTGTTTGAAATCATACATTTAAGCATGATGCCTACATGAATTGGTTTAAAAAATTATGTTTAAAACAAGAAAATAAGAATGAAAGTTTGTTTTCTTCTGATATAAAGTGGAACATTTTCTAAGAAACGTCTCCAACATGTCAAACAATACACGAAACTTTTTATCTATAGAAATTGTTTCACTAGAATTAAACTTCTGTTTCCTTCTGTCTTTGGCAAAGTGTAAATTTTCGTAGTAGCTGTGATGTGCAGATCGGAAGTTCTAGATGTTTGCTTAGCTCATCTTCCTTAAGTTTCCGGCTATTAATGTCATCCACATACTCTTTCATTGCAGAATTTACTTTAAATGTTAATTGGTGTATATCAGTACCTCGTTCCTTTCTAATTTCATTACAGAATGTGTGAATAAATTTAGACCCTTGTGCAGTGTTCCATTTGTTCTCCTGTTTGACCGAATCTGACCAATCTAATTGTTCAATAGAACCTAAAATAGACATATTATCATAAGGATCAACAATATATGTGAGATAATCTTTATTCACATAAGCTGGATTTGATCGTTTTCGTGAAATCTACAATCGATTCTTAATTTTGAATTAATTGCATTTCCTGAAAAATACAACTAGATTCTGACGTGTATCAAATAAATATTAAATATTTAATAATTAATCTCTACTTCAGCTTACAAACCAAATGCCATCCACTGTCGATCCATCCGATCCAATAGATCAATGTTTACGTTATCTCTACTACAGCTTACAAACAAAATGGCAACCACTGCCGATCCATCTGATCCATTTAGATCGATGCGAATATAATCTTTACTTAAGCTTACAAACAAAATGGCATCCCCTGTCGATCCAAACGATCCATTTAGATCGATGTTTACGTTATCTCTACTTTAACTTACCTCGGATACTACAGTGATAAATCAAACTGTCCGCCTGAGTTGGCAGTCTTGTTTCTTCTTCTGATCCCTTTCCAAATAAACTGGGATCCCTTGGGGAAATACTTATATCATCCGTCTACAAAAAAAAAGTATCTTTTAAGAAACTTATTTTTTTTTGTATTTGGGTTGTAGGAAACTCCATGGAACTTCTTGTTCTATGATGTTTGTGTTAGGAGCAAAAACAAGTAAACGTAGGCATTATGCGTGGGAAATTCCATGCAATGTATTTCTGAAGACTCTGATGAGGGATATTTCACTTAATTAATGACTGATATTTTCAAAGACTTCTCATAACACGAAATGACGATGTATATCTACTTTCTTGACTTTGTCCTTTGAAATAATGTTATAATCAAGGATCAGGAAGTCGACAAAGTAAAACGGTGTATCTTAAATGTTTGTAGAGGAAACGTATATAAAAGAAATGACAAGTTTTTTTTCACTTTGTTATTTTTACACTAGGATTCTACAGCACTGGCGTCATTTTGAAATGTGCTATTTATTTTTTTATGTTCTTTCGGATAAGCAATGTCTAATCATTAATATATTAATCCATGTTGGATTATTTAACTGGAGAGGTTAATCATTAATATTCATCAAAAATAAACGAGGACCTAACCTGGAAACCTGAGGCACTCCACTTTATACAAACTTTTTATCAGAATCAATATTTGCATGTTGAACTTCTTGCTGATAGTCACATAAACATTAATTTATCTAATTTATCTTGATTTCTCCGATTTAATTATATTTTAGTTTTTTTTTCTAAAAGTATGATATGGTTAATAAGTCAAAAGACTTACTAAAATCTAAAAAAAAATACCGTACCAACAATTTCTTCATTATCTAAATACTTAACCATTCGTAATTATGTCGGAGCAGTTTGACACGAACAACCTCATCTGAAACCTCACTAACTATATGTTGTAAGTTTTTTTATCATTCAAGTATAATCATGTATACATGTATCAACATTTTAGATATGGCATTCAAATCACAAATTGGACAGTAACTATGTAAGTGGTTACTCTAGCATGTTTCATTTTTTTCTGGAAAACGATCAAATGGTATGCTTTTGTTTATTAGAAAAGCCAGTCAAAGAGATATCATCTCTTCGCTAAACTTAAATAACCTGATGATTTGTTAATATTTAGGGGCTTCATGAACGTAAACACATCTCCCACAGAAATTGAGGTTTCGTTTAAAATTGTCTGCCACCTTTAATTTATTACAAGCAATATTTTGTAACAAACTAAAATCCATATCAGGTATTATTTCCAATAGGCTTACAGCAAGTGAGGAAAAAGTAACATTTATTTTGAAATGAACAACAACATTAAAAACCATTACTATCTCCGCTTTTTAGAATAAATGTCTTACCTGTAAAATAAATATCTTCGGTTTACCTCTCAGTCCTATACAGTTTTCTGTATTAAAGATATGGATTACTTCGTCAACAGAAATATCAACTCTATTGACGTCCTTAAAACAGCCATTCATACGATCACAGTAACTGATTATAACGCATAATAAAAAATCTCTATCTACTGTAAATTCTGATTTTCTACCTGAAAAAAAACATCAGTATGTGTACTTTTTCCAGCATATCAATAAGTAATGGAGTACATAAAAATAAGGAGATATGGTATAATTGCCAATGTGACAAACATTCAACAGAGTTAAAATGAAGTGGGAGAAAGCAATTATAGGACACCGTACGGCCTTCGACGATAAAAAAACCCATACCGTATAGTCGACTATAACAGGCACCGACATAAAAATGCAAACAAATTCAAACGGGAACACTAACAGCCTAATTTATAACAAAGCAATGTACTTAAATCAAATATGAAAGATATGAAGCGACGACAATCTGACTATTTCATAATTCATGTATTATATATTCAAATATGAATACTTCAAGGACAAACTTTGTGTTACATGTACACTCAGATTCATTACCCTCAATATCTGCTTACCCTTCAGGAGCACCTGAGATCACCCCCAGTTTTTGGTGGGGTTCGTGTTGCTTAGTCTTTGGTTTTCTATGTTGTGTCATCTGTACTATTATTTGTCTGTTTGTCTTTTTTTTTTGGCCATGGCGTTGTCAGTTTGTTTTCGATCTATGAGTTTGACTGTCCCTCTGGTATCTTTCGTGCCTCTTTCATTCAAACAACAAAAAACAGGTAATCTACGGAATTACAAACCTTTCCTTCTCTGGCTTTGGATCTCATGAGAATATCATTTAAATCATGGGTCACGCTTTATTGTTTACTATTTCTCTCTTGCTGTGTGTGTGTATGGATGTGTGTGTTCATTGCTGCTTTTAAAATTGTTACATCACGATTTGTTATGTAATGGAAAGTAAATTCATTTTTATTTTAGTAATTTTGTCTAGAAACAATATATGCTTACTTATTTTTAACAACTGTGTTAATATTGTATCTCTGTCGCTGTCCTGATTAAAAACTTCAGGTTTGGCAAATCCAAGTTGTTTGAATGTATCCTTTAGAGTCTTGGTGTCAGCATCAATACTGGTCTGGTCGAAACAACAGTCTTTAACTTTTATTGGAATAATTATTGGCTTACAGGATGGTATTTTACTCAGAGTATAAGTCTCCATATCGATTAGCTGTAAAAGTTAAACAAACAAAATAATTTATACAATTACAGACCAAATAATTTAAAACAATGTACATGTAACTTATTATTATGACATAGCCTTCAAACCTTTCAAGATGTACAGGTGTATACAGAGTAATTTTTGCAGTGTAAACATCGCTATTTGGGTGAACTTTTGAAGTATTAGATCAAATCGAAACTACGATCTCATAGTGTATAAAACATACTTTTGAAGTATTAGATCAAATCGAAACTTCGATCTCATAGTGTATAAAACATACTTTTGAAGTATTAGATCAAATCGAAACTACGATCTCATAGTGTATAAAACATACATAACGCTATGTAGTATGTATTCTTTTTAATTTGCTACAGTTAATATTCACAAAATATATTCGAAATCGAAATAACGAAAAGTATGGAATCCTGATATGATATGACCAACAAATCTACCTCATTTAGTGTTAGAATATTGTGCATAGATCTTACCAAACAAATAGGAAGTATATGTGCTCAGTAATAAATGTGTTGTGTAATGGTATTACCGGTGCTATATTTATTCACTCTAACGTGTATTCTATATATAGATTAGGTGTAGTGTTTCATATCTACAGCGGGGTCAAAATCTCTGAGGTCAAAATTCTCATGTATTTCTTTTTACAATATATTGCAAGTATTTTCGTTGAACAATTAATATACAGTAGGAAAAAAAGTGACAAAGGTATCGCCCTTGTAAATTATACAATATATATTAATATTCAATTCAATTCAATTCAGATGTCTATTGCCATATAAACTTTAAACAATTTAAGTTTGTGACAAATTCAAAACAAGTATACAATATAACTGACACACATATAGCTACACAATCATTTGATAACAGTAAGTAGTCCAGAGTCCCCTGTCCTCAGTTCTAACATAGATGTATAAACCCATAGATAAAGCTCGTCAAAAGTTCCCTACTGTTCTCTTTTGTTAGATAAAAAGAACCATGACCAATTTGACTATTTTTGATGTTTCATGTGTGTTGTCCTCAATCAAGTAACTCTAGCTACATCTCTTATCTGTTGATCTGTATTGACCAGTACAGCAGAATAGATTTTCTTAATTGTCTTCTCGAGTTATGTCCCTTCTGTTGTGAGAGTATGTCTATTTTTAGCGCAGTGGACAGACAAATAAAATGGTGAAAAAATGGATGAAATCGGTCAGAAATTGCGCATTTTACAAGGGAAATATTGAACTAAATTAAAAAATGTTTTTTTAAGGCTTGTATCTTTATATTTTATAAAAACAATGTGCCTGTAAGTTCCTGAAAATGGGAATAGCACGTTGTTGAACTTATAAAATACACCTTCTTTTTGATATGCTTCATTAAGGTGTCGAACTGCGTCGAATTTGGGAAAAAATTAAGAAGAAAGTACATTCTTTTCTTTATTTTATCAGTTTTTCTACATTTTTAGAAGAGAAATTGTCTTTTTAAATCATTTTTATATATCTTTACGAATAAGTTAGTTACTAAATCATAGATGTATTTTATACATCTATATGGCTCAATTATAATAATTTCATTCATGATGTTTATTAGATTAGTTTAAGTAAAGAGTTTTAGTGTACTACCAAAACATTCCATGTAAAGCATGGTAAATAAATATTATGGAGCATATATTCAACTTTTTCCATGTTTTCTATTAAATATATTTCCAATAGACTTGTTTATAATAGTTAACATACATTGTTTAAATAAAGTTAAATTGTGATAAAAGATATAAAATATAAAAATATAAATATGTAAATATGATGAAAACATTAGTTCTGGCTAAAAAAAGATATCCGCATTTATTAATTTCTTTTCGAGAATAATTTGTAATATTGTTTAACCTACAAGAACATTATTTTTTCATAACCAAGTCATTCTAAAATATATATTTTGATTTTATTTCTTTCTGATTTTTAGCATGTTTAACTGCTAAGTAGATTTTTATTGTCAGTTTTCTATTGTCTAGATTGTCAATCGGCATCTCAATGACCAACTGGTTCATGTCATTATCAGATAAGTGTGAAAGCCATTACAACGCACATAGAACCTTTGACGTCAGTGTTGAGCTTCATCTATGGGTTTATACATCTATGGTTCTAATGACTTTTTAATGTAGGACCTCAATCTATTTACTTGTGACGGTGTTGGTGGATTTAGTATAAAAATAACTTTTTCTTCATCAGATAAATGTTTAAAAGAACATTTTATTTCCAAATTATCAAAAAAGTTGTTTCTCAGTTCCCTATGTAATATGCAATTTTATTAAACAATATACCAATGTGTCAAAATATCTTTATGAATATAAAATAAATTTATTCCTGTGTTGAAAGTGTTAATCTCCAATTTTTATAATATCATTTTATTATCCACAGTAAATATGAAAATATGTTTATGAATGGGTATTTTTTTCGAATGCAAACGGCACTCTTGTAACAAAATATAGGTGCCCCACATTCACTCCCTGATCCTATACCTTTTAAGAGAAACGCGTGTCGACAAAACGAACACAATTTGTACCAAATATTTCTTCTATGCAACTCAAGAAAAAAAGGGATTATTCTAGCATTTCAGAGATCAATCATTTCTAAAGAATATACGGAAAATATATGCAATAAACGGCAGTGCAATTTTGATGGTTATATTGTGGGGGAAATACGGGTATTGGGGGAGGGGGGGGGGGGGGTGGGGATGAGATCATGCCAGTTCTCCCTACCCCCCCCCCCCCCCCCGGGAAAAACTGGCATGTGGAAAAATGGCTATATAACACTGAGATAACAGTTTTGTATTTGAAGAATATCGGATATCAGTTTTTATTTGAAGTTCGCAAATATCTGTTTTTGACTCCGTTAAAGCGTCGACTGTAAACTCTATTTGCAGCTATCAAATCACTAATTGATGAACGCAAATCTTCAAATACAATACTGCAATGCTATCTACTATCTCTTCATTCAGAGGAACGTTCTCCGCATTAACGATATTGATAATGAGTTTAGATGAAATGTTCTGCTAAATACAATGATGAAAAAAACAACAAAATCGGATTAACCGTATAATGCCATAATATTCATTTGAATGTAACACACAACGAAAACTGCAAGCTTTATAGGAGTTTTGTGCAAAGCAAGTTTTAAATGTTACTATAATACGCAATCAAATGCGAGTTGTTTCAATATCATTATTTTTAAATATTTTTCTGCTACCTGTATCTATCAAATCTCACGCCATAACTCGGTATACATACGACACTAGACCAGCTAGAGAAATCCGAAAAAATCAACAAAATCGAACGATATTTAGCGGGATGTATTCTTGAAAAATTATTGAACTAAGGGAAATTCCAACGTTCCTTATTCGGATTGAAATATGTAATGCGAATAAATTGAGAAGGCCGCACAAATTTGTGCTGAAATCGAGACGAATTAATATAATAATCGTTAAAAAGGGGGAATTGACTTGTGCGGACAAAACTATTTAATATTTATATTCACTCAGAGACATTTTTTTATTTGGAAAGATTTCGGGGAATCATGTCATGCTTAAAAAGTATGCAGAACACTCTTGAAATTGGTTCGTGGATAGAGGTTTAGATTTTGTGTATTTTTCAAACAATATGCAGCATAAATAGAAGGTTCACGAAGGGTCAATATTGTCTATATAATTCTGTGAAACACTTATAATGTCATTATGACGTCATAATTGTCCATTCATACGAAGAAAATCATATAAAATGCTCTTTTTTTCTTCAGTCCTAACGACTTTTTTTTACTATAAAATTCCTAGGGGTGTCATGGCGTTGATTGATTTAATGGGACGAAAACGTTGCACTTCCATGAATTTACTGTATTGGGCTACACCTACCTTTGATGAATAACATTTTACTTTCATGGATATGTGTAAAAATGATGGGAAAAAAATTAAAACGTTACATGAATGAAGACTACATTATTTGTTAGAATGTTCATCGGCCATCATACGCATGCGTTAATATGATTTTATGATACGCCAAATGTTAACGAAACTGTGGTTTGCATTGGAAATTTACTTTAAGTTAGTATTATTAAAATGTTGTTTTTTTATCAATGAATATTAAAATGTATTTGGATTAAAAAGAAATGATATTAGGAAACTCTTGTTTTAGTGGTAGACAAAGATAACTTTTTAATTCTCGTTTATAAATGCATTTTTTAGTATAAGGCAGACATGGTTCAAATGCTTCTAGTGTTTTTTTTATAGATCTCATGTTGCCAACACACTCTTATATACAGCAGAGACAAATAGACTAAAGGACTTCCAATTAATGATGTATTTATTAGTAAAAACACTAAAATGACGGCTTGGTGAAATATCTAAACATTGGCGGTACACTTATACACTTATAACAAAAAACCTAAAGAAATTTGGGCTTTACTTAAAGATTTAAAACCCAAAGCACAAAAATGAAATTCCATCTACAATGAATTTTGACAATAAAGAATATGATAATATGCAAGATATAGTAAATCATTTCAACACACACTTTACAACAATAGGTGATAAATATGTTAGAAATAACACGCAATTTCAAGCAAATAAATTAAACAAGTTGCTTTTTTTTTTTAAAAGTCAATACGTGAACCTTAGAACTTTTTTATGTTAATTATTATTTCAACTGAATTGTAAATTATATCTCAGTATTTTCATTACCATGTGTGTGGAGGATAATTTTTTCTTTTTATTGTAAATCAGGACAATTATGGCGTGTTGAGAGTGGTGTTAAATATAAAGTAGGGAGATAAGGAATGTTTTAATTTCAATAGTTCATTTCTGGATGTGTTAGCTTTCATTTTTACTAGACTAAGTGTGAAATGTCAAACTACTACCAATGGATGAAACGTCTAGGGTGTTTATTGGTAGAGATAATATTTCACCTAGAATCCCTCAGTAATTTTATATATTTTTCTTTTTAAAATACATATTTAAGAGCAAGTAGGATATTTTGTTTCAGAAAATGTGGAAGTTTTATTCCTACCAAATAAGACAAAATCTACTTGCTTACCATTTTATTTTGTGCCGTAATATCCTGTTCCACCTTAGAAATGGGTTTGGGTCCAGCTAATACATTCAATTTGCTGCTTATACATGTATACTTATATATACCTGTCTAAATCCGGAGCCTGCTTTTTGTTTGCTTATTATCGTGTCTGTTTTTCTTTTTTTTTTGTATAAAAATATTGCCATTGATTTATATCTTGTACAACACTGGTCAATTTGATGTCATTTAGCTCGCTTTGCTAAGACTCAACATTCAACGCCATGTTTATTGAAAAGTTCTCTCATTGGCAAGCATAGTTTACCAAATATTATATAATCATATCAGTCGCAGGATAATTCGATTATTATGTCAATCAACATACGTAATAAATCTCAAAACTTTACACTATTTTTTGCTAACTTATGTTTGTTGCCTTTAATTCAGAAATTTAAGTGTTTCGGGATTTTTTGATTAAACGAAGTTAACTTTTTAAGCATGGGTCC